CAGAAGTTTGACCTGGAGCCGGACACCTACTGCCGCTACGACTCGATGGGTCAGCGTGTTCAACCGAGCCGTGAGCGACGACGCCCCGAGGTTGGGGAAGTTCTGCAGCGACGCGGTCCCGGGCTCCATCTCCTCCGAAGGGAATGAACTCCTTGTGCAGTTTGCCTCAGATCTCAGCGTCGCCGCTGTCGGCTTCTCAGCCTCCTACAAGACCCTGCCTCGGGGCGCTGCTAAAGAAGGGCCAGGCCCCAGCCCCAAACCGGGAACTGAGCCCAAAGTCAAGCCACCTCCCAAGCCCCAACCTCCAGAGAAAACTCCCATTGCCCCTGATGCACCCACTGTCAACTGCCCAAAGCAGTGCCGCCGCATAGACACGTTGTAGAGCAACTTCTGAGCAGCAGCCTGGTGGTGACTGCAACAGTGAAGTCCATGGTTCGGGGCCTAGGAGAGGGCCTCACCGTCAGTGTTAGTCTTATTGGTGCTTATAAAACTGGAGGACTGGACCTACCTTCTCCACCCACTGGTGCCTCCCTGAAATTTTAAGTGCCTTGCAAGCAGTGCCCCCCGCCCAACCGTGAAGAAAGGAGCCAGTTATCTGCTGACCGGCCACGTGGAAGAGAACAGAGGTCCCGTCCTTCCTCCAGAGAGCTTCGTGGTTCTCCACCGGCCCAACCAGGACCAGATCCTCACCAACCTAAGCAAGAGGAAATGCCTCTCCCAACCTGTGCAGGCTGCCAAGTCCCCGGCCTGAGACACAGGCTAGCCCGGGCCCCCAGCCCTCAGGCCTTCTTTCTTATCCAAATAAATGTTTCTTAACTGAAAAAGAAAAAAAAAAAGTACAGATCAGATGGACAGCCATTCCATTGATAGGAATTTATACACTATGTCTGCACAATGATCTGTATGTGTGTTTCTGGACCAAACTAAAGGGCGGGCCACTATTTCTTGTGGCCCAGTATTGAGATGCAGGTGAACTGGGAAGAGAGTTTTTATTTCTGCAACTGGTTACAGGGAGAAGTCCTGGAAATTATCACCAGACCAACTCAAAATTACGAAGTGTTCTAGAGCTTATGTGCCTTCTAGGCTATATGTGCATGTGTACGTGTGCATTCATCTAGACATATAAGCGACTAACTTCTTTTCATTGTAACAGGTCTGAGTCCTGAAGACCTTCCTCTGGAGTCTCAGTAAAGTTACTTAATCTAAATGGGTCCCGGTGCTGTTGTGATTACCCTTATCTTGTCTCCTGCTAAATCATGGACGTTTGGGGAGTTCCTTCAGACCTCTAATAAACTTGTTAGTGGAGGCCTGAGAAGTTTCTCCAGACCCCTAATAGAATTTGTTTAATCCTAAATGATTCCTGTTAAGAATTCCTTTGTTATTTTGTCATGCTTTAAGGCCGGGAAAAGCCTAGGAAAAACTTTTGGTGGGCATTTCTCACATTCAAGCCTTTGTATAAAGCCACTGTCCTTTCTTTTTCTTTTTTCTTTTAATATTGAGCTTACTCACTCAGCTGGTGCTCAAACAGTCGTTACGGAAGCCTGCGTTAGTGAGACCTGGCCTGCCACGTGTGGTTGCTCGTGATGGTTTCTTCATCATAGCCCAAACCTGGAATGATAGAAATGTCCCATAACAAATGAATGTCTGAACAAACACGGTATAGCCACACCAAGGAATACTACTCAGCAACTACACGGCATTAACTGTTAAAGCAAATACTCACATGGATAAATTTTTAAATTAAGTCGATGCATGAAAGAAGGCAGAAACAAAATAACGTGTATGTGTGTGTATCCCCAATAGGTATAGTTTCATTTATAGAAAATGGTTACAAATACCTAAAGTGACAGTGGCTCACTGGGGCAGAGGGTTGAAAGACTGATGAACTGCAAAGGGGTACAAGAGACTTTGGGGCTTATGGAAATTCCTCTATCTTGATTGTGGCAGTAGTTCCATGAGTGTATACATTGGTAAACATGGCTTGAATTACACATTTTAAAGTGGTGCGGTCTCTTGTACCTAAATTACACGTTTATGAAGCTGATTTGATAATCTTGATTTCTGCATACTAACAATTAGCAACTAGAAAATGAAATTCAATAAAACATAAAAGAGATTAATATCCAGAATCACTACATGCTTAAGAATACATAGAATGAAGCAGGTACAAGTCCCCTAAAAGCAATTGGTGAGAGAAATTCAAGAAGAGAAATACATATCACGTTCATTGACTGGAAGACTCAAATTGGTTAGCATATTACAGCAACACAATTCTGATTAATATTTCTAGTAGGAGATTTTAGGGAAATTTAAAAGCCTGTTTCAAAATGTATTTGAAAATCGAAGAACCTAGAATAGGCAAGTTGGTCTTGAAGAAGCAATAGGTTGGAGGACTTGCTCTGCTGGATTTCAAACCTGATTTTAAAGCTACGGTAATTTCAAAACAATAGGACCGGTGTGAGTCTTCATAAATATATCGAAGTCAAAGAATACAGATTCAAATGATATGCCCACATATGTGCGGTTATTTAACTTTTTTTAGTAGAATCTTTTTTACTCAGGAAAAAATACCCAAATCTGCAAAACAAAAAAGTTTTCCAACCATACACAGGAGGGGTATGGGTAGGGGGAGGTGTCTGTCCGTCTAGCCTGTCCCGCAGCCCATGCAGAGGTCAGCACTGGGAACGCTGAAGGTGGGAGGCCATTTCATGATATTTCTCATTGGTGAAATTGCCGAGGACACCTTCTTTGTCCACCAGCAGGCCTAGCGTCTTAGCAGTCATGGCGACAGTGACATTGGAAGTGGAGGCTCCACCGATGCTCTTGGTAAGAAGGTCCCAGGCCAAGTCCTGCAGCAGTGAGTCCCAACCACAGAACATTTCTGCCCCCTCAGTGTCGGCCCATTCACGAAAAACCTTGACCAGTCGGAGTCTTGCTCTGTCACCCAGGCTGGAGTTCAGTGGCTCTACGGTGTGGGCTGCTTTTGTATCTGGAATGTGTCTGACATCCTGAGACCTGGACTCATTTCAGGGAGCTTTGAGAGGAGCCCCAATCACTGACGGAATTGGACGGTGTGTGGAGACGCTTCAGCAGCACGAGGGTAAGTGGAGGAGCAAGACCAGGTAACAGTGAGAGACAATGAGCATCATCAATCACCCCGACCATGACCATGAACTTGCCAGGTTCTGCTGGGGGAAGGCAACAACACATCAATGGTGTTATAGCAAATATATGTGTGTGTGTGTGTGTGTGTGTGTGTGTGTGTGTGTATCCCCAATAATATTCCATAAGAACTGTTTGTGGCCCTGTTTATTTTCCTTTCAATACATGGGAAAACTAAATAAAAACAACAAAATAGCATCAAGTTTACAAGACTTTCCAAAGTGTATGGTCACACACGTTTTCAGGGAATATACACAAATGATTTTGATCACTTGATACCTTGAAAAGAGCTCTTGTGAGACAGAATGATATTGATAAGTGACAAGTATGAAAAAAGTGTCAGTGACATCAAAGAAACAAATGAACCCACAGATAGAGGAGGAGCTTTGCACTTAGGGATGTGAACTGGTCATCAGTGTAATGAAAAGCCAAGATGCTGCCTCAGTGAGAGAAAAGAAATCAACATAACAATGGGATGCAGCGAGGAGAACACTGAATCAGGGAGAAAATATTTTTAAATTATTCATTAACTTTTCAGTAGGTACAGAAATAAAAAATGCAGAACACAGAAGCTATCATGGCAGTCTAAAAGTCTGACATCTTTCATGTGTGGAAAAGCCTTAAGATCTGCTTTAACTTAGAGAAGGTGGGGTGACTTCCTGAAGACCGCTAAGAAAATATAACCTTCTGGGAAACTGTCTCCATGATTTTATACACACAAGAGATGGACAGAGGAATGCGCTTAGACATATTAAGAAAGAGGTGAGTCTGCAGCACTGTCACAAGGGTAAGCAAATACTGAGAGGGACTGCTGAGGAAATAATCCCCATCTGTGACTCTCAGGTGAGATCAGGGGGCCTTGGTTTCAGCACAGCCTGGGCAATTGGAATGCAGGGCTCCTAAGATTTCATGACACACCCACCTTCTAATTCTGTTATTGTGACTGCAGATGGTTACCCGGATACCAGCTGCTAACCTCCCTCACTCTTGTAGAGTCTGAGCTACAGGCAGTGCCTTCGGCTCTGAGCTCTGGTATTCTCAACTTTGTTTTGGCGATTAAGTACTCTGTGGTATTGGTGGAGTTCTTCTTAACCGTAAGTCAACCATTCCAGCTGTTGTCATCCCTCAGTGCTGACTAACCCTATTTGATTTCACTTGTTTTTGACCCATCATGTGTTGTGGTTTCTTCTCCCTAGTCCCTGTTATACCTCTTCTGCCACCAACATCAGCATGTGGTATCTGCTGGACATTTATCCAGGGAGAGGGCAGAAATGAACATCCTATAAATCAACCAGGGATTGTGTTGTAAGGGTTATTCTCTTGTGAGGTTTATTGCCGAGTTTAAAATGAGGAAACTGAAGCCTGCATGGGAACAATTAGACGCCAATTTATTCAGCTCCTGGGAAAGGTTCTGTGGTCCTGGGAAAGAGGCCAGAGAAGTCATGCCTGACTTCGCTCAGGTGTGGGGTTTTACAGGGAGGGAAGGTGTTCTGATTGCCTGTGGACAAACAGGACATGGATGTGACAATCTGCTATTGGTAGGCAGGCAGGATTTCTGGTGAGCAGGCTAGGTGCCCAGTGCGGAGCTTAGTGCTGAGTTCAGAGGGGATTTCCAAGGCGGAGCTAGATAATGGGCGTATTCCGGTGACGTAATTTTCAGGCAGGGAGAGGGATAGGCATGTCCGAGCTCCCAGCAAGTCAAATGGCCTTACAGTGCTCCCAGCTGGCACAGAGCCAACAGCAGTTCCAAGACCTCAAAGAGAAATTTCTTGTAAGTCAAGCTACTGTCTACTCTCTGGCCAAGCAACTGAAGAGATACAGTAAGTTCTATAGATTCATCATCACAAAAGTGATGACTAAGCACCTGCTTCTCTCTGAGATACTGAATGGTCCCTTCATCTAAATTAATTTCATCCTTTCTTTAGTTCTAGGAAAATACAAATGGGTATTTTAACTTCATTGTGTTAAGGATGGAAAATGGAGGCACGATGTGTTTAGCAACCCTTCCACGTTAGCAGTCCGGTGTGAGGTGGGGCTAGAGTTGAAATGCTACTTACTGACTCTCACACAGACACAGAGGCACTTACTTTCCTCAGCAAGAGGCTATATCACATTTAAGAGAATCCTCTCTGTGCCCTGTAAGATCCTGCAGACAAATAACTTGTAGTCTGGTGGTAAATGTCTGGGACCAAAGAACTGCCATTCGGTTTTAGCTTCTTTGAGGCCCAGTAGGCAAATCTCTGTTCTGGGGACCCTGGGGGAAACGTGGTGACAGTACAGAGTACCTGCTCTAAAGAGCTTAAAGAGGAGACTGCTCCTAACGGTAAGTGTGGCATCTATACGTGAGGGCATCAAGAGCAGGAAGTACCCTGGTGAGAGGGAAGTCCTGCTTCCTGGGGCACAGTCTCTTATTCTAAAGAGGAATTAAGACAGCACATTAGACATTGTGGAGGTCACAGTGTAGTGTGTGGAGTAATGGAAATATCATAGAAATAAAGTACACAAAATATGTAATGTGATTGAATCATTCAAAAACCATCCCCCCTACCCTGGACCCAGAAAAATTGTCTTCCATGAAACCGGATGCTGGTGCCTAAAAGGTTGGGGACTGCGACTCTACCTGCTGGGAGGTGACTTCCCTCCACTGACGCAGTCCAGCGTCCCTTCCTTTTTACTCAGGCCCAGGCTTGCATCCTCTGCAGAGCTCCAGTGCCTTTTTCCATGTGTGGGCTTGTTGTTTGAATCGTGATTTGGTCTCAGTCCTATATTTTCATGAAAACCATTGAGAATGAGTGTCCCTCACGGGGTACTGGCCTAACTGATGAGCAAAGCGAAGTGGTTTCTATCCTCATGATGTCCAGAAAACCCTTCCTCTGAGCAAGTGCCCCTTGGTGTAGGAGCTTCACAGGCTATGTAGAGAAAAATTTTGATTTTCATTTCTTCTTGCTCATTGTATTTTTTTAAACTTCCATCCTGGGAGTTTCATGTGGATTGGTGGGAGTTTCAACCATCAGTCTATTTTCTAGTAGGAGCAGGTAACTCTGTGATGTACCCCAGGATATCTGATAATGTTGTAATAAAATTAGCAAGAGTGCCAGGTGCGGTGGCTCATGCCTGTAATTCCAGCACTTTGGGAGGCTGAAGCAGGTAGATTGCTTGAGCTGAGTAGTTTGAGACCAGCGTGGGCAACACTACAAAAACATGTCCCTATGAAAAATTAGCAAGGCATGGTGACACACGCCTGTACTTCCAGCTTTATGGGAGGCTGTGGTGGAAGAATCACCTGAGCCTGGTAAATTGAGGCTGCAGTGCATAATCATTGTACCACTGCACTCCAGCCTGAGCAACAAGGTGAGACCTGTGTCACACACATACGCTCACACTCACACACACAAACACAGACACAAACACATCCACACACACACACTCACACAAAAAAAGAAACTAGCAATGAAAATGTTGGTCTCTATTCTGTTTCAGTCAGTGAGTGCCTTTCCTACCTGGACCATCCCTTTCCCCTTTTGCATTTCTCCCTGAGTTTGAGAAAGCAAATAGTTTTCTGTGATGACAGTGATTCATTAAACAAACAAAATACTCTTTGATCTTGCATATGCATATGCCCTGCCCCTTGCCAAACAAGCTCTATCCTGCTATAAACATTCAGAGCTGAAGGAATGCTCCCAAGGGGGCAGTGGCATCTCCATGTTAGACCTGAGGATGCTGAGGCTCAGAAAGTTTCTTTCACTTGCCCAGGATGGCACGACTATGACTAGAGCATGGTCCTTTTGTCTGCCTGACTTCATGGCCCAGTCTCTGTCATTTCTCTGTGGGGGTTCTGTCAGGGACTAAGCCACGATGCGTGCACATCCTCTTTCCTTTGTAGAAATTATTTTCCAATAAAGTCAAGCTGAAACAGAATAAGTTGCTGGTCTAGGGTAAAGAAGTCTTGTAGTCCCTGGCACAGATTTCTCAAGAAGGATTACCTCTGTGCACTCTGTCCATCAGCAGAATCAGTGGCTCCTTCAGTCCCTCCAGGGGGACCTACAGCTCCAGCAGGCTCTCCCTTGGAAAAGCACTCAGGGAATAAATGATCCTAGTCTCTCCCCACCTCCTCATCCCCAGGGTTTCAACTCTCAACTTGGCCATGTTTAGGTCCCTGTAAAGCTGTGGAGCTGCATCTCAGGAACACCCCAGCAAGGATGGGTCTCCTACAAAAAAGGAAGAGACACTGCTCTGACACATGTCTCAGAACTGAGATGTCTGTGATGTGGCCAGCCCTGCCGTCAGGAACATGGGCCAGGAGAAAGCACATTCATCCATGCAGATGGGCCAAGATGAATGAATGCGCCCTTCAGATCACACAAGAATGCTTCCTGTGTGTGGCTTCTCGACAATAATGTGTGAATAGTGTGCACAGTGCACAGCCCTGACCCCAGCAATGGTGTCAGTGTGTATCTGCTCTGCCCAAGCTTTCCCTGCAGAGAAGGGCTTGATTTGAAAACAAAGGGCAATTTTCACACGGAAAGTGTTCACATCTGTCTCTTATGAAAACCCATTTAGTTGGTCATCTCCACTCATGCCCTCGGCCATGTCCTCAGTTTCCTTCTCACAGGGATCCACTTCCGCTCAGATTTCCTTAACGCCCTGGATCCTGTTCATTCTCATGCTTTGTCCCAGGCAATATCTCCTCCTGGAGCCCTCAGCTGAGGAATACGGAGACCCCTGTCCTCAGGAGGAGGGAGGGTCACATGAGATAATGAGCACAATTTGGATCTGTGGAAAGGATACCTGAAAGGCGCTCAGCGGGTGTCAGGAATGTGCCGTCCCTTACATGTGCCATGTAACTAACTTAAACTGATTTTTTCCCACCACATTCTCCTTTGTTTCACTATGGATTCTTACACCGTCAGCCAAGCCCGAACTCACTGGCTCAGACGTATGCTGTTTTGCCCACATTCCCTGGAGTCCAGAGCCAGAACAAGGCTCCCAGTAAGAGCAAAGAGTGAATGCCTGGTGCCTCATTCACGGTTTCCTTGGTCATTTCTCCCTGCTGTCTAACAGCTCATTTGTTTCTCTGCACACCTCTTCTTTCTCATTCTTCTCATGTTTCTATTATTTTTAAAATTTCAATAGAAGAGAATACTAATTATATTGTTACATTAAATATCTCTCAAATCTCTATATATTATTTTTTCATTATATTAATATCTATAGATATATGCATTTACACCATTTGCTATGTATATTTTGTACATTTGGTGTGTATGCTACGTAGTGTGTATATATATGTGCAATAGATCATATAATGATGTACGTTTTGTAAATTCTTCAGGTTTAGTCTTCCCCGGTTCTTTTCCCATCAGCTGCTATAAGGTCTGTCTGGTCTCACCTCTGTGTCCCATGGGCTGCCACCCTGCCAGGCCCTTCCACCCCCCGTCCTGTTTGGACTCAGCTCTGATTTAACTTTCACTCTTATAATCTCTTCCCTCCCCAAAGCACAGCCTACATACAGTGTGATTCCCTTGCTTTGGCCATATCTACCCTGAAGCTATTTGTGTTTCTTAATCTTTAGTTTCCTGAGTATTTTTGTAAATCAGGAGTGCCCTTGCTGCCTGGCACACTTGTCATTACTGAGTAATGTAAGAAAGATCAACAAAAAATATATTAAAGTTACTCTGTTGGGTTCCCCTCCCCCTTTGGACTTTCTTGTCCAAGGCCCCATTCGTGATTTGATGTCCTTTGGGTGGAAGAGGAAATCACAGTAAGATCGTGGATGCCATTGGCTGTGTTTTATTTTCAGAGCTGGTTTTAGCCCCCTCCATTGCGATGAAGAACCCTCCGCAGATGGAAGATGATCCACTCGAAGGCTCATCAACCACTCAGTGGCATCAAGTGCCTGGCAACATTGATGCCTCCAGTGTTGCAAAACCCAAGAAGATCAAACGAAAGCTCCCTTTCAGCAAATGGTTCTGCTGGACTTCACGCTCCGGGTGCAGAGGTAATCACTTCTATGGCTCTGAGCTGCACTCACTTCTTATTTCTCTCTGTCTATGGTGACAGCCCATTCTCCCACTGCTTTTTCTTTTCCATTTGTTCTCCCCAGGGGATGCTGTAACCTCTGTCTGGTCTTACCCCAGTGTCCCATGGGCTCCCACGCTGCCAGGCCCTTTCTGGCCCCTTCTCCTCATTGCTCTCTGAACTCTGCTCTATTCCTTCTTCTGCTGGCTTGACGGTCTCTCTCATGACCACGGGAATGCCAGGCCTCATTGTCCTCATTAAAGTACACAGTTTAAGCTGCAGAACACAGGGTTTCTTGCCTGGAATTGCCCACTCTCTTCAGAAATTTACCTTTCCTTCCTGTATCCCCAACTTTATTGAAGCTTTCTGCAGGGAGTGTGGCTTTAATACATCATTTACACATAGATTTTTCTCTTGAGTTGGCTTTGGAGGAACCCAGCTAAGTCCACCCTTACTCGTCTCTTGTTCCTCTGAATGAGAAGTGTTAAAGCTGAGCACAGAGAGCCCCACTTAGAAAACTGAACTTGAATCTGGGTCACAAATGGGAGTTCTCTACTGGACTGGAGCCAGGTTTGCCTTCATCCCCAGATGTGCAGCCTTGTGACAATGTAGATGGAATTGCCAGGGACTCAGCATTCTCACCACATGGACTCATTTGTGCTGACATTAACTGAATGACATTTATGACATGCAAAAGTACATGCAGAGGACAGGACTTCAAATCTGCATACATCATGAGATATATCATTCTAACCTCTCTCCATTTTATTCTCATTTCCATTTCTACATGACCAGTTAAGGGTCTATAATGCAACTCAGATGAATCTTGAGGCCAGGGTATATGAGAGAGCATTTTCTGAATTAACTTTGAGAAAAGTGACTCCAGGACCTGCTTTATGCTACACAAGATGACAGACAAGCATCTGTCTACAGGACAGTCTTTGCTTTGGTTCAGCACAATTGATAACAGAGAGATTTCACTGAGGTTGTCAGAGAGAAGACTGAAATCCATGAAACCACAGGAAACAAAGCCGATCATGAGATCAACAGGGAAAGAAAAGAAAATGATGGGAAATTGGGTTGTTCCATTTTGTATCTCTAAATCCCGCTGCCATGTAGTAAACACCTGGTGAGATTTCAGTTTAGATGCATGCCTTGAACTCACACCTTGAGATTCTCACTGACATCATCTGGGGAGTGGTTTGGGTGTCTGTAGTTTTAAAATGCTTTCATGTGATTCTGATATGTGGCTGAAGATGAGGAAGAAAACTGGTCTTCTATGACCTCAGGTTGCCAACATGGAAGTGTTTTATATGTGTGGCTACTCCAAAGAAAAGTCTGAGCATCCATCAGCATTTGATGGGATCTGTATTCCCCTCTCAATAGTACTGTTCATATAGCAGAGAAAAAAAATCAGACAGAAAACCAACAAAAATTAAGAGGTTAGACCTTTAGCCTCTGCTCCCAATGGTGAGTGTGGCATCTATACGTGAGGGCATCAAGAGCAGGGAGTACCCTTGTGAGAGGAATGTTCTGCATCCTGGGTCACAGGCTTTTATTCTAAAGAGGAAGAACGATGGCCCATTAGACATTTTGGAGGTCACAGTGTAGTGTGTAGAGTAGGGATCCTGGGCCAAAATCCTGGGCTCCATCTAAGTAGCCGAGCTTTTCGGTGCCTCAGTTTTCTCATCTGTTCTTTGGGTACTATAATAATACCTACCTCTGTAAATTGCTGCAATGAATTACATGACCTGTTTCTTTTAAATCTCCTAGAACAATACTTGGCACAGAGTAAACACTATTCATTCTTTATTCTACTATTTCTAACTTAATTCAAAATTTATTAGTATGTGGCCACATTTCTTTTATGATTTCAGGGTCCAATGCCTCATATTTTATGCAATTATATTCAGATATGATTTTTCAAATCTTTAACAAATCTGTGCTTGAAATTCTCAGTTCCAGGGAATCCATGAGTCCCACAGTCTTAAGGGCATTTTCTACTGTCCAGAATATCAGTACTTGATGCCCCCATAGAGTGTTTTACAGAAGAGGCTGCAAGGTTGGGAACGTGGCCCAAAACTTAGAGTCAGACCTTGGGGGCTGTGAATTCTGGCTCTGTCTCATTCCAGGTGTTACTTGATGTGCCACTGAGTTTCTTTTTCCCCATCTCTAAGTTGGAGAGTATCAGATGCCAGTGAGTCGGGAGGTTTATAACTAAAAATGAGGAAATCCCTCACTGGAGCCTGATAGTGGAGATGCCTTTGTCCTTGGGATAAATGCTGCCACCTGCCATGTAGGCAGTGACCACAACAGCCTGTCCAGCCTTCCACTGAGGCAGGCATGACTTTCTTTTCTCAGACTGTGATGCATACCACCTCAACATCCTGGCTCTGGAGAGAGACATCTATGAAATCGGAGAGCAGACCATTTATGAGGAATTCAAATTAATTGAGGAGCTCAGGTGAGCAGACGCTGTGGGGACTGGTGGGGGGCAAAGGTGTGGATCTCTGAAGTGCAGCACTTCAGCTGGGAGAACCAGCAGCTAAGCTGGGCTAAAAGCAGGACAGACATTTACGTGGCAGGCACATTTCACAGCAGCACTCATACAACAGAACAGTAATCTTAGCACGTTACCGGCTGCAGTTGTTTCCTTGAGCTTTGATTACACTTTTTATAACAATGAAATGTTGAGTCAAAATTTGCATATCCAAAATTAATTAAAAGAAAGTGAACCACCCAGTAGCGTTTAGTACACTCTATCCCATGTACTCTTAAAGTCACCTCCTGGCTGACCACTGCAACTCATTCATTCAATCCATACTGCCTTCTTTATCTGTCATTTTTTTCTTCTTTCATCTTTACAATTCACCCCATCTGCACCAGGCCACACTTCTGTGCATGGCTCTGTTTCCAGTCACTGCCCGATGTACTATGGGAATTTTCACATAAAAATGTCCACGGCTAAAGTGAGGAGATGAAAGGACATCCTTTTGAAACCGATTTGGGAAGACTGACTTTTGTTTACAGAAGACAAAAATGAATGGAACATCATACAGGATCTCACAGGAGCTCTCTCTGATACAGAGGAAGCCTCCAAGGTTCAAGCAATTCTCCTGTCTCGGCCTCCCGAGTAGCTGGGACTACAGGTGTGCAACACCATGCCTGGCTAAATTTTGTATTTTTGGTAGAGACAGGGTTTCACCATGTTGGCCAGGCTGGGTTTAAACACCTGATCTCAGGTTCTGCCCACCTCAGAATCTCAAAGTGCTCAGATCACAGGCATGAGCTACCATGCCCTGCTTTAAAAAATAAATGCATATTTATTTATTATTATATTGTATATACATAATATGGCAGCCGTGCTCTGTTGCAGAGAGAGGAGGATTGCCTGTTCCCTCTTAAACGGAACCTCCCCTTTGCTTTCTGGGACCACAACCTTATGCCTCCTGTGAAAACCAGTTGGAAATTCCTGGGGTTTAATCCCTTGTGGTTTAATCTTTGTCATCTCAAAATATATAGATATAGATGTAGATATGCTATAGACACACACACACACACACACACAAACACACATTCCTCTGGACCACAGGCATTTCCTGAAACATGTTGTGAAGTTCTGCTTGGGGGGCTCCTTGAGGACATTTTCACCTAAACCTCCGTTGCACTGGTCACTCATCCCTTTACATTATTAAACCTCTCTGCTGTCTCATTATAGGAAATATAAAGCCCTGGATTACCGTCAGACAGAGCAGCTGGCACAGTTAAAGTATGAGTTACGGAAAGTGAGAGATGCCTCCTGCTCAGTGGATCAGCATTTTGAGGTCCACCTCCCTCCTGATGACCCTGACAACTCTGAGCGTCAGAACCTCCAGGAGCAGCTGGCTAAGGGGCCCGGGCTGGCTGAGCAATCTGTCAGCAGGCTCAGCCCAGGTAAGGTGGGCACAGGCCCTGATGACACACAGCCCCAGGCTTATGAAAGTCCCCAGACCACCACACCTCCACAGTGACAATTTTATTTCTTTACACTAAATTTCATAGCCATGACATGACCAGGACATCCTGGGCAGAAACTGAGATGGAAAACCCATGTTGTCGGAGGTCACAGTATGGCAAATGTCTCCTCATTTCTTGCTGAAATGTGCTCTTTGTGGCAGGAGGCAGCATCTTTCCAGTTTTAAAAGACAGGAAAGGCTGTGACAGGAGGCAGCTTGTTAGAGTCAAAAGAGCCCTGGACTGAGAATGAGGGTTCCAGGCTCTCTCTTCAGCAGTGTTTTAGCAACTGTGGGTAACTGATTAAATCATCCTTCCTGAGTTCCTGTCTCTAAATCTGTAAAAGCAGACAAATTGTCTCTTGCATTCGAAGGTGGGCACACTTATGAGTATATTTTACAACGAGATAAAACCCCTTGCTGTGTGGTGTTGGAGAAGGCACCTGATGTGGGGGCATTTGGTGGTAGAAAGCTATCTCCACACACTCCACATGGAGAGTGTGTTCCTGGATAAGACAGCAGAAGCCTCTTGGAGGGCCCACGAAGTCCTAGATTTGTGGAGTATAGTGAGACAACTTAGTTTGTCCTGTCGTAAGAGAAAGATACAGGTTTTAATGTAAGCTGTAACAGGACACAGAGCCTGTGCCTGGGTATCAGAAGTGAGGCAGGACTGGGGAGACAACTGCTGAAGCTTGGAGAGAGGCTGGGCAAGCCTGCAGTAATATGGGGAGCAAGATGTCTTTTCACTATTTGGCCACATCTTAATGGTGACCCTCCAGATCAGAAACATGTGGCCTCATGGATCGGGAAAACCTCTCAGGTTAAAAATAAAACATGACAGTGCTCAGCACAATGCAGACCCATAGATGCATGTTCTTGTCTCGGTACACATAGGGCTGACTGTGATTTCAGTGGGTATAGTGGGAAATATCTGAATAGATGCTTCTATAATTCCAGAAAATGATAAACATCATCAAGATCAAACAGATGAGGAGGTCGAGAAAGCAGAGAAGTCAGCTGCGCCCAGGTAACACTGAATAATCAGGAGCGGGTAATGGGTGGTGAAATCTGGAAAAGGTCTCAGAAAGAACGTAAGTTAGGTGAAAGGTCAGGTGGACAGACTAAACTCAGGGATTTCCGATCTCACCTGTTGTCTGCCTCTTTGGCATTTCCATGTTTGCAAGTATTTGCTAGCAGGAAAGTGAATGAAAACAACTCATATCATGCTCACAGTTTTGAGAACATGTGAGGTTGAGAATACAGGAACTCTTTCTGTGAAGATGCAAGAACCTGCATTCATTTGGCCTCTGATGCTAATTTCAACAAAATGTGTGTAAAAGTGCTGAATGCACTGTGTCCTTGCAGTCTCCCACAGGGATCCCTCCAGCTCTTCCTCCCCAGCTCATTGTCTGCCCAGTGCACTGAGCACCTGCCACTCTGTCTCCTGCTCCATACAGGAAATAATGGTTGTGTCTCTCTGAGAGGATCATACTTGGCTTCCTCTGGCCTCTCCTGTGGTCCTCCCTATAGAACCATCTGGGTGCAGTCGTATGGGTCCTGTCCAGTGTTTATCTTCTGTCTTCTTCACCCCAGGCTGAGCCAGGAGCTACTGGAGGCAAAAGAGCAAAAAGCCCCAGAAGACTTCCTGGATGACCTTTACTGGACTCTTTCAGTTCAGGGTGACCTGTCTGATTACCACCAGCCTTATAGCAGTGCCTCGTCCTCACTGGAGAATCAACTCACATGCCCTGCACTGGATGTAGCCTGTGAGTACTGCAGCCTGAAGGTCCCAAAACCCCATGGTCCTCCCAGGCAGCCTCTGTATGTTATGTTTCTGCAACTTGTGTCACTGAGTCAGATCATCAATGCAGGCAGGCCCCGTAAACTGAGCCTGCCTCAGTTTTGAATCTGACTCTTGGCTCCATTTTTAATCACAGACATCCAGTGGGAGGAACTTCCTCTTTTCCTGTCCCAAGTGACTCCTCGGTCACCTGGTTTCTTCTCACAAGAACAGGCTGTGGGCATGAAAACAGGAAAGAGGTCAGGACTCATAGCAAGTTTTTGGCCACAGTAGCCCATCTGGATATATTTGCATAAAAACCTTCTTCTGTAAGATAGGGCATCTGTCTTTTCTCAAATGATGTTGCTAACTGCATGCCTTGAACAGTGCCCTTATCTCTTCTCTGGCCATCCACACATCCAGGCAGTTTTGCACCATTATTTCAGAGCCCATTGTAGAATTCCTGTGTCTGATAAGGATTCTCTACTCTAGAGATCTCCAGCTCGAGGGCCATGGACAGTTGTGGGGCCATGACCTGTTAGGAACTGGGCCACACAGCAGGAGGTCAGCGGTGGGAGAGCATGACCGCCTGAATTTCGCCTCCTGCCAGATCAGCAGTGGCATTCAATTCTCACAGGACTCGAACCCTATTGTGAATTGCACATGTGAGCGATCTAGGTTCTGCACCCCTCATGGGAATTTAATGCATGATGATCTGTCACTGTCTCCCAGTGACTGTCACCCCCACGTGGGACCATCTAGTTTCAGGAAAACAAGCTTAGGGCTTGCACTGATTTGGTGAGTTGTATATTTCATTAGATATTATAATGTAATAATCATAGAAAAACAGTGCACAAATAATGTAATGTGCATGAATCATCCGGAAAGCTTCCCCCTTACCCTGGACCCAGAAAAATTGTCTTCCATGAAACCGGATGCTGGTGCCTAAAAGGTTGGGGACTGCGGCTCTACCTGCTGGGAGGTGACCTCCCTCCACTGACGCAGTCTAGTGTCCCTTCCTTTATGCAGGCCGAGGCTTGCATTATCTGCAGAGCTCCAGTGGCTTTTTCCATGTGTGGGCTTGTTGTTTGAATCGTGATTTGGTCTCAGTGCTATATTCTCATGAAAACCATTGAGAATGAGTGTCCCTCACGGGGTACTGGCGTAACTGATGAGCAAAGCGGAGTGGTTTCTATCCTCACGATGTCCAGAAAACCCTTCTGCTGAGCAAGTACCCTTTGGTGTAGCAGCTTCACAGGATATGTAGAGACAAATTTGATTTTCATTTCTTCTTGCTCATTGTATTTTTTTTAACTTCCATTCTGGGAGTTTCATGTGCATTGTTGGGAGTTTCAAGCATCAACCTATTTTCTAGTAAGAGCAGGTAACTCTGTGATGTACCCCAGTATATCCTATTATGTTGTAATAAAATTAGCAACAGTGCGAGGCTCGGTGGCTCATGCCTGTAATTCCAGCACTTTTGGAGGCTGAGGCAGGTAGATTGCTTGAGTTGAGGAGTTTGAGGCCAGTGGGGCAACACTACAAAAACATGTCCCTATGAAAAATTTGCAAGGCTTGGTGGCACGCACCTTTTGTCACAGCTACATGGAAGGCTGTGGTGTAAGAATCACCTGAGCCTGGGAAATTGAGGCTGCAACGCGTCATCATTGCACCACTGCACTCCAGTCTGAGCAACAAAGTGAGACCTGTGTCACACACACACTCACCCTTACACACACACATAAACACACACAAATACACCCAGCCACACACACATACTAACACACACACACACATGCATACACACACACACAAACACACACAGACAGAAACAAACTAGCAATGAAAATGTTGGCCTCTATTCTCTTTCAGTCAGTGAGTGCCTTTCCCAGAAAAGCACCTGGACCATCCCCTTTCTTGTTTTGCATTTCTCCCTGAGTTTGAAAAAGCAAATACTTTTCAGTGATCACAGTGATTCATAAAACAAATAAAATACTCTTTGACCTTGCGTATGCTGTATGCCCAGCCCCTTGCCAAACAAGCTCTGAACTGCTATAAACATTCAGAGCTGAAGGAATGCTCCCAAGGGGGCAATGGCATCTTCATGTTAGACCTGAGGTCGCTGAGGCTCAGAAAGTTTTCTTCACTTGCCCAGGATGGCATGACTAGTCATGGTGAGAACATGTTTTTTTGTCTGCCTGACTTCATGGCTCAGTCTCTGTCATTTCTCTGTGGGAGTCCTGTCAGGGACTGAGCCAAGATGGGTACTCACCCTTTTTCCTTTGCAGAAATTATTCTCCAATAAAGTCAAGGTGAAACAGAATAAGTTGCTGGTCTAGGATAAAGAAGTCCTGTAGTCCCTGGCACAGATTTCTCAAGAAGGATTACCTCTGTGCACTCTGTCCATCAGCAGAATCAGTGGCTCCTCCAGTCCCTCCAGGGGGACCTACAGCTCCAGCAGGCTCTCCCTTGGAAAAGCACTCAGGGAATAAATGATCCTAGTCTCTCCCCACCTCCCCATCCCCAGGGTTTCAACTCTCAACTTGGCCATGTTTAGGTCCCTGTAAAGCTGTGGAGCTGCATCTCATAAACACCCCAGCCAGGATGGGTCTCCTACAAGAAGGATGGGAAATGCTCTGAAATGTGTCTTAGAAGTGAGATGCTTGTGACATGGCCGGCCCTGCCATCAGGAACATGGGCCAGGAGAGGGCACATTCATCCATGCAGATGGGCCAAGATGAATGAACACGCCCTTCAGATTACACAAGGATGCTTCCTGTGTGTGGTTTCTTGACAATAATGTGTGAATAGTGTGCACAGTGCACAGCTCTGACCTCAGCAGCGGTGTCAGCATGGATCTGCTCTGCATATGTTTTCCCTGCAGAGAAAGACTTGGTAGATTTAGGGAGAATACAACCTAAATTATCTCTTTATCTTTCCTTGATGGCTTCTTCCAACTTGCCCCATTAACAGTACGGCAGTACTTCAGAAGTTTGAGAAAACATTTTCTTTTTTCTTCTGAAAATGCAAAGAATATTCAAAGTACAATTTAATAAGACTCAGTAGTCTAGAAAAGAGGGATAAAGTGAGATGAGAAAATTAAGTAGTGACAATTAAAGACATTCCCAGAGCTTGATTCTAAACAGCAAGTGCAGAGAATCAGAAAAGGAGCGCTGTGTTTGCCCAGTCTCCATCAGCCAGATTTGTTGTTTCAGGATGTTTCTCTCATTTGCCCAATATGAGCTATCTTAAAATGTGAGAGTGTCCTAAGTGGCTGATGGTCAATGATGAATAAAGTGTGCTCTCAGGAAGATGAAAGAGAACAGACACAAGGAAAGCTTTGAGCCACTAGGGAGGTGAAACCCAGTCTAGAGAAGGGCTTCTAAACAGAAACCACAGAGCTGGATGGCACCTGGCGCAGGGTGGAACCACAGAGGGGCCAGCATGACCTCAGGAAGAGTCTGTTTGAGCATGTGGTCGAAGGTGATGCTGGGTAGGATCGTGGGGCAGAAGTGAGAAGGAGCACAGAGGCAGGATGAGAAGGACAGTCACGCAGGGGGCAGTGGAGAGAAAGTGTTCAGGTGCAGAGTGGGAACATGGTGAGAACAGAACTTTGGGGAGATAAAACTGCTGAGACAATTGCTAGAGTGGACACGCCAGGGTCAGAGAAAGCAGAGAGGGAGGCTGTATGAAACCAGGCATCACTGATGAGACTCTGATACACTGTGCTCTCAGCAAGACAAAAGAGAATAGACACAAGGAGCACAGTTTTAAGAAAATTTAGGAAGTCTTGTAGTGAATGAGAATGAGGAGAGGGGAAGAGAGAAAGGAGCCCTAGCAACATGGATCTGGCCCTGCACCCTGTCCCTGTCCTGAGCCCAACCTAAACAGGCATGAAGTCATCGGAAGTCTTTCCTTAGTCCACTCTGAGAATGTGCATTCCTCTCCCTGTGGAAATAGAAATAGTTTGCTTAGGATGTATGCCTGAACCCCACTGGAGAGTGGGTAATGTGAGGACTGTGCCCTGTGTTCCCTTCCTACATTACCACCCATGCAGATGTATAGCTCTTGTGGTCCCTGAATTTCTGCACAGGGACTGGTCCCTCCATTACATTTCCTACGGCTGCTGACACCCATTATTATGTGGCACTAGGATGGAGATGTGTGAGCCGGGGGTTAAATCATTACAGGCAATGAGAAGTTCAAAATGTCTCAGAACCCTGAAAAGTTAGCCTCACTTAGTGTTTGGTCTTTCTCATGGTTCTCTCTCAAAGCCTCCTGGCACTAACTCTTGCCCTGTTCTTACACACCTGTGTTGTGGAGAACAGTTCTTCCTCTCCTATGCTCTGGGGGCTCTCTAGAACTTTCCCTGTAGGCAGAGGAAAGAGATTGATAATGACAGACTAATCGTCATGACCTTTATAGCCAATCCAAAGTTCTCTTGGCTAAAGGAGGGGTTTTTCACTTCAGGGACACTCTAGCCTGGCACCTGCCATGTCAGTGTCTCCAGGCACAGAAAGGAAAGACAACATTGCCTCCATTTACATGATGTCTGTCTGTGTGGCCTGGGTCACTGGGTGGCTCTACTGAGAGGTGGGAACAGCAGGGATGGGTGTTCCCTTAACAGAGGGAAAACTGAGATTGTTCCTACTGAAGCCCCTTCTCCTTTCAGCTTCCACCCAGGCCACCTGTCACCAAGGGACTCGGAGTGGAGACTTGAGCTCCCACCTATCAAAGGTGCAGGCTTCACAGACACAGCTGGATTTAAGCACCATGGTGCCGAGTTTTCTACGAATAGAGCTGGATCAAGTGTTCCACGGTGGGAATGGCCCAGGCAGTCAGGGCCTTTCCTCCACCACCTGCAACTTCACAGTCAATGTTGATTCTGGTAACCAATGTTCCTTTCAAAGTAGGGAAGGAAAGGGGATAGGAAAGTCCATTCCAGGTGTTGGTGGTCATGGTGCTGTGGTTGGAGGAGAGAATGGAGCCTCTCTGTGCTCCCTCAGGGTCAAGTTAAATGCACAGTACTCCAACCCAGTAAGGTGAGCAGGAGCCTGGGGCTTAGGACAAAATCTGCTCTCAGGTCCCGGGTTTGCCTCCTTCTGGTTGTTCACTCTGGCCAAGGATTTTGTCTTTTTGCTATGCAAATCTCTGTTTCCTCATCTGAGCTACCTAAAATATAATATCTACTTGTAATCATCGCTGAGAGTATTAATTATCATAATTTCCAAAGGGCCTGATTCAATAACAATTACTCAATAGACCTATAAATACATGTTATCTAATCTATTTGTCTTTCTGCCAAGTTTACATTTAGAAAGTGACTTCACAGACTCTGTGTTCTCTGAGGTAGAGCAGTTGTGAAGCTCTCTGTTCTCTAGAGTCTCCTCTTCCTTTCTTTTCTCACATACACTCCTCTGTCAGTTTTCTTCCTCTCCTTCCTCATCCCCCATAGGGCCAATTCTCCACTGTCAGGCACTTTCAGTGACAACCTATGAGGCACATTCAGGAACAGTGTAAATCCTGGACTAACATGTCAGTGTCATGACACGTCCAGCTCCTCTTTCTCCTTGTTCTGCTCTTTTTGAACACAAAGGGCAATTTTCACATATAAAGTGTTCACATCTGTCTCTTTTATGAAAATCCATTTAATTGGTCATCTCCACTCATGTCCTCGGCCATGTCCTCAGTTTCCTTCTCACAGGGATCCACTTCCACTCAAATTTCCTTAATGCTCTGGATCCTGTTCATTCTCACTCTTTGTCCCAGTCAATTTCTCATCCTGGGGCCCTCAGCTGAGGAATATGGGGACCCCTGTCCTCAGGAGGAGGGAGGGTCACACGAGATAATGAGCACAATTTGATTCCATGGAGAGGACACCTGGAAGGCACTGAGCAGGTGTCAGGGGTGTGCAGTCCCTTACATGTGACGTGGAACTAATTTAAACTGATTTCTTCCCACCAGATTCTCCTTTGCTTCATTATGGATTTCTACACCCACAGTCAAGACGGAACTCACTGGATCAGACCCAGGCTGTCTTCCCCACATTTTCTGGAGTCCAGAGCCAGAACCAGGCTCCCAGTAAGAGCAAAGAGTGAATGCCCTGCCTCATTCATAGTTTCCTTGGTCATTTCTCTCTGATGCCTAACGGGTCATTTGTTTCTTTGCACACCTTGTCTTTCTCATTCTTCTCATGTTTCTATTATTTTTTCAATTTCAATGAAGGAGAATATTAATTATATTGTTACATTAAATATCTCCCAAATCTCTATATATTATTTTTTAATTAGATTAATATCTACAGATATATGCATTTACACCATTTGCTGTGTATATTATGTACATTTGGTGTGTATGCTACGTAGTATGTATATTTATGTGCAATAGATCATATAATGCACGTTTTGTAAATTCTTCAGGTTTAGTCTTCCCCGGTTCTTTTCCCATCAGCTGCTGTAAGGTCTGTCTGGTCTCACCTCTGTGTCCCATGGGCTGCCACCCTGCCAGGCCCTTCCACCCCCCTGTCCTGTTTGGACTCAGCTCTGATTTAACTTTCACTCTTATAATCTCTTCCCTCCCCAAAGCACAGCCTACATACAGTGTGATTCCCTTGCTTTGGCCATATCTACCCTGAAGCTACTTGTGTTTCTTAGTCTCTAGTTTCTTGAATATGTTTGTGAATCGGGAGTGCCCTTGCCTCCTGGCACACTTGTCATTACTGAGTAATGTAAGAAAAATCAACAAAAAAGAAAGTATTAAAGTCACTCTGTTGGCTTCCTTTCCCCCTTTGGACTTTCCTGTCCAAGGCCCCATTCGTGATTTGATGTCCTTTGGGTGGAAGAGAAAGTCACAGTAAGATCATAAATGCTACTGGATGCCATGGGCTGTTGTTTCATTTTCAGAGCCGGTTTTAGCCCCCTCCATTGTGATGAAGATCCCTCCACAGATGGAAGATGATCCACTCGAAGGCTCATCAAACACCCAATGGCATCAAGTGCCTGGCAACATTGATGCCTCCAGTGTTCCGAAACCCAAGAACATCAAAAGAAAACTCCGTTTCAGCAAATGGCTCCATTGGCCTTTACGCTCAGGGTGCAGAGGTAATCACTTCTATGGCTCTGAGCTGCACTCACTTCTTATTTCTCTCTGTCTATGATGACAGCTCATTCTCTCGCTGCTTTTTCTCTTCCATTTGTTCTCCCCAGGGGCTGCTGTAACCTCTGTCTGGTCTAACCCCAGTGTCCCATGGGCTCCCATCCTGCCAGGCTCTTTCTGTCCTCATCTCCTCATTGCTCTCTGAACCCTGCTCTATTCCTTCTTCTGCTGTCTTGAGGGTCCCTCTGGTGGCCACAGGAGAGCGAGGCCACGTTGTCCACATCCAAGTACACAGTTTAAGCTGTGGAACACAGGGTTCCTTGCCTGGAATTGCACACTCTCTTCAGAAATTACCTTTTCTCCCTGTATCCCCAACTTTATTATTGCTTTCTGCAGGGAGCGTGGCTTTAATACATCATTTACACATGGTTTTTCTTTTGAGTTGGCTTTGGAGGAAGCCAGCTAAGTCCACCCTTACTTGTCTCTTGTTCCTCTGAATGAGAAGTGTTAAAGCTGAGCACAGAGAGCCCCACTTAGATAACTAACTTGAATCTGGGTCAAAAATGGGAGTTCCCTGCCGGACTGGAGCCAGGTTTGCCTTCATCCCCAGATGTGCAGCCTTGTGACAATATTGATGGAATTGCCAGGGACTCAGCATTCTCACCACATGGACTCATTTATGCTGACATTAACTGAATGACATTTATGACATGCAAAAGTACATGCAGAGGACAGGACTTCAAATCTGCATACATCATGAGATATATCATTCTAACCTCTCTCCATTTTATTCTCATTTCCATTTCTACATGTCCAGTTAAGGGTCTATAATGCAACTCAGATGAATCTTGAGGCCAGGGTATATGAGAGAGTGTTTTCTGAATTAACTTTGAGTAAAGTGACTCCAGGACCTGCTTTATGCTACACAAGATGACAGACAAGCATCTGTCTACAGGACAGTCTTTGCTCTGGTTCAGCTTAACTGATAACAGAGAGATTTCACTGAAGTTGTCAGAGAGAAGACTGAAATCCATGAAACCACAGGAAACAAAGCCGATCATGAGATAAACAGGGAAAGGAAAGAAAATGATGGGAAATTGGGTTGTTCCATTTTGTATCTCTAAATCCCGCTGCCATGTAGTAAACAGCTGGTGAGATTTCAGTTTAGATGCATGCCTTGAACTCACACCTTGAGATTCTCACTGACATGATCTGGGGTGTGGTTTGGGTGTCTGTAGTTTTAAAATGCTCCCATGTGATTCTGATATGTGGCTGAAGATGAGGAAGACAACTGGTCTACGACCTCAGGTTGCCAACATGAAAGTGTTCTATATGTGTGGCTACTCCAAAGAAAAGTCTGAGCATTCATCAGCATTTGATAGGATCTCTATTCCCCTCTCAATAGTACTGTTCACATAGCAGAGAGGAAACCAACAAAATTAAGAGATTAGACCTTTAGCCTTTGCTCCCAATGGTGAGTGTGGCATCTATACGTGAGGGCATCAAGAGCAGGGAGAACTCTGGTGAGAGGAATGTTCTGCATCCTGGGGCACAGGCTCTTACTCTAGAAAGGAAGAATGACAACCCATTAGACATTGTGGAGGTCAGTGTAGCGTGTGGAGTAGGGATCCTGGGCCGGACTTCTGGGCTCCATCTAAGTTGCTGAGCTTTTCGGTGCCTCAGTTTCCTCATCTGTTCTTTGGGTACTATAATAATACCTACCTCTGTAAATTGCTGCAATGAATTACAGGACCTGTTTCTTCTCAATGTTCTAGAACAATACTTGGCACAGAGTAAACACTATTTGTTCTTTATTCTGCTATTTATAACTTAATTCAAACTTCATTAGTATTTGGTCATATTTCTTTTATGACTTCAGGGTCTAATGCCTCATATTTTATGCAATTATATTCAGATATGATTTTTCAAATCTTTGACAAATTTGTGCTTGAAATTCCCAGTTCCAGGGAATCTGTGAGTCCCACAGTCCTAAGGGCATTCCTGTCCAGAATATCAGTACTTCATGCCCCCATAGAGTGTTTTACAGAAGAGGCTGCAAGGTTGGGAACATGGCCCAAAACTAAGAGTCAGACCTTGGGGGCTGTGAATTCTGACTCTGTCTCATTCCAGGTGTTACTTGATGTGCCACTGAGTTTCTTTTTCCCCATCTCTAAGTTGGAGAGTATCCGATGCCAGCAAGTTGGGAGGTTGATCATTAAAAATGAGGAAATCCCTCACTGGAGCCTGATAGTGCAGATGCTTTTGTCCTTGGGAGGGACACTGCCACCTGCCATGTAGGCAGTGACCACAGCAGCCTGTCCCTTCCACTGAGGCAGGCCTTACTGTCTTTTCTTAGAATGTGATAACTATAAAGAAAGATTAAAAACTCTGCAACTAGATATCATCAATTACACGGAGGCATTACTTGAAGAGGAGCTCATGAGAACAGAGGAGCTCAGGTGAGCAGATGCTGTGGAGACAGGCGGGGGGCAAAGGTGTGGATCTCTGAAGTGCAGCACTTCAGCTGGGAGAACCAGCAGCCAAGCTGGGCCAGGACCAGGACAGACATTTACGTGGCAGGCACATTTCACAGCAGCACTCATAAAACAGAACAGTCATCTTAGCACGTTACCAGCTGCAGTTGTTTCCTTGAGCTTTGATTACACTCTTTATAACAACAAAATGTTGAGTCAAAATTTGCATATCCAAAATTAATTAAAAGAAAGTGAACCACCCAGCAGTGTTTAGTACACTCTATCCCATGTACTCTTAGAGTCACCTCCTGGCTGACCGCAGCAACTCTTCATTCAATCAATCAATACTGCCTTCTTGACCTGCCATTCTTTTCTTCTTTGATTTTTACAATTCACCCCATCTGCACCAGGCCACACTTCTGTGCATGGCTCTGTTTCCAGTCACTGCCTGATGCACTATGGGAGTTTTCACATAGAAATGTCCTTGGCTAAAGTGAGAAGCTGAAAGGACATCCTTTTGAAACCGATTTGGGAAGACTGACTTTTGTTTACAGAAGACAAAAATGAATGGAACATCATACAGGATCTCACAGGAGCTCTCTCTGATACAGAGGAAGCCTCCAAGGTTCAAGCAATTCTCCTGTCTCGGCCTCCCGAGTAGCTGGGACTACAGGTGTGCAACACCATGCCTGGCTAAATTTTGTATTTTTGGTAGAGACAGGGTTTCACCATGTTGGCCAGGCTGGGTTTAAACACCTGATCTCAGGTTTTGCCCACCTCAGAATCTCAAAGTGCTCAGATCACCGGTATGAGCTACCATGCCCTGCTTTAAAAAATAAATGCATATTTATTTATTATTATATTGTATATACATAATATGGCAGCCGTGCTCTGTTGCAGAGAGAGGAGGATTGCCTGTTCCCTCTTAAACGGAACCTCCCCATTTGCTTTCTGGGACCACAACCTTATGGCTCCTGTGAAAACCAGTTGGAATTTCCTATGGTTCAATCCCTTGTGGTTTAATCTTTGTCATCTCAAAATATATAGATATAGATGTAGATATGCTATAGACACACACACACGCACACACACATTCCTCTGGACCACAGGCATTTCCCCAAACAGGTTGTGACGTTCTGCTTGGGGGCTCCTTGAGGACATTCTCACCTAAACCTCCGTTGTAGTATTAGAACTGATCACCCATCCCTTTCCGTTATTAAACATTCTCTGCTATGTCCCCAAAGGGAATATAAAGCCCTGACTCAATCTCAGGCAGAGCAGCTGGCAAAGTTACAAGAAGAAATAGATGCCACCAAGTTACGGAATGAGCAATTGAAGGCCCACGTCACTTCTGATGACCCCGGTAAGTCTCAGCGTCAGAACCTCCAAGAGCAGCTGGCTAAGGGGCTCAGGCTGACAGAGCATTATGTCAGGCTCAGCCCAGGTAAGGTGGGCACAGGCCCTGATGACACACAACCCCAGGCTTATGAAAGTCCCCAGACCACCACACCGCCACAGTGACAATTTTATTTCTTTACACTAAAAATTCATAGCCATGACATGACCAGGACATCCTGGGCAGAAAGAGATGGGAAACCCATGAAGTTGGAGGTCACAGGATAGCAAATGTCTCCTCATTTCTTGCTGGAACATGGTCTTTCAGGCAAGAGGCAGCATCTGTCCAGTTTTAAAGGACAGGAAGGAGGCTGTGACAGGAGGCAGCTTGTTAGAGTCGAAAGAGCCCTGGACTAAGAATGAGGGTTCCAGGCTCTATCTTCAGCAGTGTCTTTAGCAACTGTGGGTAACTGATTAAATCATCCTTCCTGAGTTCCTGTCTCTAAATCTGTAAAGGCAGACAAATTGTCTCTTGCATTCAAATGTGGGAACACTTACAACGATATTTCATGATGAGATAAAGCCCCTTGCTGTGTGCTTTGGAGAAGGCACTTGATGTGGGGGCATTTGGTGGTAGGAAGCCATCTCCATGCACTCCACATGGAGAGTGTGTTCCTGGATAAGACAGCAGAAGCCTCTTGGAGGGCCCACGAAGTCCCCGATGCATGGAGTATAGTGGGACAAGTTAGTTTGTTCTGTCATAAGAGAAAGATACAGGTGGCCGGGTGCGGTGGCTCAAGCCTGTAGTCCCAGCACTTTGGGAGGCCGAGGCTGGTGGATCACGAGGTCAAGTTATCGAGACCATCCTGGTCAACATGGTGAAACCCCGTCTCTACTCAAAATACAAAAAATTAGCTGGGCATGGTGGCGCGGGCCTATAATCCCAGCTACTCAGGAGGCTGATGCAGGAACCCAGGAGGTGGAGGTTGAACCTAGGAGGTGGAGGTTGCGATGAGCCGAGATCGCCACATTGCACTCCAGCCTGGGCAACAAGAGCCAGAGCAAAACTCCATCTCGGGGAAAACAAGAAAATAGAAAGATAGAGGTTTCAATGTAAGCTGTAACAGGATACAGAGCCTGTGCCTGGGTGTCAGAAGTGAGGCAGGATTGGGGAGACAGCTGCTGAAGCTTGGAGAGAGGCTGGGCAAGCCTGTGGTAATATAAAGAGCAAGATGTCTTTTGACTATTTGGCGGCATCTTAATGGTGACCCTCCAGATCAGAAACATGTGGCCTCATGGATCGGGAAAACCTGTCAGGTTAAAAATAAAACATGACAGTGCTCAGTACAATGCAGACCCATAGATGCATGTTCTTGTCTCAGTACACATAGGGCTGACTGTGATTCAGTGGGTAAAGTGGGAAATATCTGAATAGATGCTTCTGTAATTCCAGAAAATGATAAACATCAAGATCAAACAGATGAGGAGGGCAAGAAAGCAGAGAAATCAGCTGCGCCCAGGTAACACTGAATAATCAGGAGCGGGTAATGGGTGGTGAAATCTGGAAAAGGTCTCAGAAAGAACCTAAGTTAGGCAAAAGGTCAGGTGAACAGACTAAACTCAGGGATTTCCGATCTCACCTGTTGTCTGCCTCTTTGGCATTTCCATGGTTGCAAGTATTTGCTAGCAGGAAAGTGAATGAAAACAATTCATATCATGCTCACAGTTTTGAGAACAAGCGAGGTTGAGGATACAGGAACTCTTTCTGTGAAGATGCAAGAACCTGCATTCATTTGGCCTCTGATGCTAATTTCAACAAAATGTGTGTAAGTGCTGAATGCACTGTGTCCTTGCAGTCTCCCACAGGGATCCCTCCAGCTCTTCCTCCCCAGCTCATTGTCTGCCCAGTGCACTGAGCACCTGCCTCTCTGTCTCCTGCTCCACACAGGGAAGGATGGTTGTGTCTCTCTGAGAGAACCGTACTTGGCTTCCTCTGGCCTCTCCTGTGGTCCTCCCTATAGAATCAGCTGGGTGCAGTTGTATGGGTCCTGTCCAGTGTTTATCTTCTGTCTTCTTCACCCCAGGCTGAGCCAGGAGCTACTGGAGGCAAAGGAGCAGGAAGACTCAGAAGACTCCCTGGATGACTTTTACTGGGCTCTTCCAGTTCAGGGTGACCTGTCTGATTACCACCAGCCTTATAGCAGTGCCTCATCCTCACTGGAGAATCAGCTTATGTGCCCTGCTGTGGATGTAGCCTGTGAGTACTGCAGCCTGAAGGTCCCAAAACCCCATGGTCCTCCCAGGCAGCCTCTGTATGTTATGTTTCTGCAACTTGTGTCACTGAGTCAGATCATCAATGCAGGCAGGCCCCGTAAACTGAGCCTGCCTCAGTTTTGAATCTGACTCTTGGCTCCATTTTTAATCACAGACATCCAGTGGGAGGAACTTCCTCTTTTCCTGTCCCAAGTGACTCCTCGGTCACCTGGTTTCTTCTCACAAGAACAGGCTGTGGGCATGAAAACAGGAAAGAGGTCAGGACTCATAGCAAGTTTTTGGCCACAGTAGCCCATCTGGATATATTTGCATAAAAACCTTCTTCTGTAAGATAGGGCATCTGTCTTTTCTCAAATGATGTTGCTAACTGCATGCCTTGAACAGTGCCCTTATCTCTTCTCTGGCCATCCACACATCCAGGCAGTTTTGCACCATTATTTCAGAGCCCATTGTAGAATTCCTGTGTCTGATAAGGATTCTCTACTCTAGAGATCTCCAGCTCGAGGGCCATGGACAGTTGTGGGGCCATGACCTGTTAGGAACTGGGCCACACAGCAGGAGGTCAGCGGTGGGAGAGCATGACCGCCTGAATTTCGCCTCCTGCCAGATCAGCAGTGGCATTCAATTCTCACAGGACTCGAACCCTATTGTGAATTGCACATGTGAGCGATCTAGGTTCTGCACCCCTCATGGGAATTTAATGCATGATGATCTGTCACTGTCTCCCAGTGACTGTCACCCCCACGTGGGACCATCTAGTTTCAGGAAAACAAGCTTAGGGCTTGCACTGATTTGGTGAGTTGTATAATTATTTCATTAGATATTATAATGTAATAATCATAGAAAAACAGTGCACAAATAATGTAATGTGCATGAATCATCCGGAAAGCTTCCCCCTTTCCCTGGACCCAGAAAAATTGTCTTCCATGAAACCGGATGCTGGTGCCTAAAAGGTTGGGGACTGCGGCTCTACCTGCTGGGAGGTGACCTCCCTCCACTGACGCAGTCCAGTGTCCCTTCCTTTACTCAGGCCCAGGCTTGCATGCTCTGCAGAGCTCCAGTGGCTTTTTCCATGTGTGGGCTTGTTGTTTGAATCGTGATTTGGTCTCAGTGCTATATTCTCATGAAAACCATTGAGAATGAGTGTCCCTCATGGGGTACTGGCGTAACTGATGAGCAAAGTGGAGTGGTTTCTATCCTCATGATGTCCAGGAAACCCTTCCGCTGAGCAAGTGCCCCTTGGTGTAGCAGCTTCACAGGATATGTAGAGAAAAATTTGATTTTCATTTCTTCTTGCTCATTGTATTTTTTTTAACTTCCATTCTGGGAGTTTCATGTGCATTGTTGGGAGTTTCAAGCATCAACCTATTATTTTCTAGTAAGAGCAGGTAACTCTGTGATGTACCCCAGTATATCTGATTACGTTGTAATAAAATTAGCAACAGTGCCAGGTGCGGTGGCTCATGCCTGTAATTCCAGCACTTTTGGAGGCTGAAGAGGGTAGATTGCTTGAGCTGAGGAGTTTGAGACCAGTGTGGGCAACACTACAAAAACATGTCTTGATGAAAAATTAGCAAGGCATGATGACACACACCTGTGCTTCCAACTTTATGGGAAGCTGTGGTGGAAGAATCACCTGAGCCTGGGAAATTGAGGCTGCAGTACGTCATTATTGCACCACTGCACTCCAGCCTGAGCAACAAGGTGAGATCTGTGTCACGCACACACACACATTCACACACACACACACACTGAGAGAGAGAGAGAGAGAGAGAGAGAGAGAGAGAGAGAGAGAGAGGAGAGAGAGAGAGAGAGGAGAGAGAGAAACTAGCAACAAAAATGTTCGTCTCTATTCTGTTTCAGTCATTGAGTGCCTTTCCTAGCAGGACCATACCTTTTCCGGTTTTGCATTTCTCCCTGAGTTTGAAAAAGCAAATAATTTTCTGTGATCACAGTGATTCATTAAACAAATAAAATACTCTTTGACCTTTCATATGCATATGCCCTGCCCCTTGCCAAACAAGCTCTGTCCTGCTATAAACATTCAGAGCTGAAGAAATGCTCCCAAGGGGGCAGTGGCATCTCCATGGTAGAGCTGAGGATGCTGAGGCTCAGAAAGTTTCTTTCACTTGCCCTGGATGGCACGACTAGTCATGGTGAGAGCATGGTCTTTTTGTCTGCCTGATTTCATCTCCCAGGGACTGAGGTATGATGGGTGCTCACCCTTTTTTCTTTGTAGAAATTATTTTCCAATAAAGTCAGGCTGAAACAGAATAAGTTGCTGGTCTAGGATAAAGAAGTCCTGTAGTCCCTGGCACAGATTTCTCAAGGATTACCTCTGTGCACTCTGTCTGTCAGCAGAATCAGTGGCTCCTCCAGTCTTTCCAGGAGGACCTACAGCTCCAGCAGGCTCTCCCTTGGAAAAGCACTCAGGGAGTAAATGGTCCTAGTCTCTCCCCACCTCCCCATCCCAAGGGTTTCAACTCTCAACTTGGCCATGTTTAGGTTTCTATAAAACTGTAGAGCTGCATCTCTTGAACACCCCAGCCTGGATGGGTCTTGTACAAGAAGGGAAATGCTCTGAAACGGGACTTAGAAGTGAGATGCCTGTGATGTGGCCGGCCCTGCCATCTGGAACATGGGCCAGGAGAGGGCACATTCATCCATGCAGATGGGCCAAGATGAACGAACGCGTCCTTCAGATTACACAAGGATGCTTCCTGTGTGTGGCTTCTCGACAATAATGTGTGAATAGTGTGCACAGTGCACAGCTCTGACCCCAGCAGTGGTGTCAGCATGGTTCGGCTCTGCCCATGCTCTCCCTGCAGAGAAAGACTTGGTAGATTTAGGGAGAATACAACCTAAATTATCTCTGGATCTTTCCTTGATGGCTTCTCCCAACCTGCCCCATGAACAGTACTGCAGTACTTCAGAAGTTTGAGAAAACGTTTTCTTTTTTCTTCTGAAAATGCAAAGAATATTCAAAGTACAAGTTTAATAAGACTCAGTAGTCTAGAAAAGAGGGATAAAGTGAGATGAGAAAATTAAGTAGTGACAATTAAAGACATTCCCAGAGCTTGATTCTAAACAGCAAGTGCAGAGAATCAGAAAAGGAGCACTGTGTTTGCCCAGTCTCCATCAGCCAGATTTGTTGTTTCAGGATGTTTCTCTCATTTGCCCAATATGAGCTATCTTAAAATGTGAGAGTGTCCTAAGTGGCTGATGGTCAATGATGAATAAAGTGTGCTCTCAGGAAGATGAAAGAGAACAGACACAAGGAAAGCTTTGAGCCACTAGGGAGGTGAAACCCAGTCTAGAGAAGGGCTTCTAAACAGAAACCACAGAGCTGGATGGCACCTGGCGCAGGGTGGAACCACAGAGGGGCCAGCATGACCTCAGGAAGAGTCTGTTTGAGCACGTGGTCGAAGGTGATGCTGGGTAGGATCGTGGGGCAGAAGTGAGAAGGAGCACAGAGGCAGGATGAGAAGGACAGTCACGCAGGGGGCAGTGGAGAGGAAGTGTTCAGGTGCAGAGTGGGAACATGGTGAGAACAGAACTTTGGGGAGATAAAACTGCTGAGACAATTGCTAGAGTGGACACGGCAAGGTCAGAGAAAGGAGAGAGGGAGGCTGTATGAAACCAGGCATCACTGATGAGACTCTGATACACTGTGCTCTCAGGAAGACAAAAGAGAATAGACACAAGGAGCACAGTTTTAAGAAAATTTAGGAAGTCTTGTAGTGAATGAGAATGAGGAGAGGGGAAGAGAGAAAGGAGCCCTAGCAATGTGGATCTGGCCCTGCACCCTGTCCCTGTCCTGAGCCAGAACTGCACAGGAATGAGGTCATTGGAAGTCTTTCCTTAGTCCACTCTGAGAATGTGCATTCCTCTCCCTGTGGAAATAGAAATAGTTTGTTTAGGATGTATGCCCGAACCCCACTGGAGAGTGGGTAATGTGAGGACTGTGCCCTGTGTTCCCTTCCTACAGAACCACCCATGCAGATGTATAGCTCTTATGGTCCCTGAATTTCTGTGAAGAAACTCATCCCTCCACTACATTGCCTATGGCTGCTGACACCCATTATTATATGGCACTAGGATGAAGATGTGTGGGCAGGGGGTTAAATCATTACAGGCAATGAGAAATTCAAAATGTCTCAGAACCCCGAAAAGTTAGCCTCACTTAGTGTTTGGTCTTTCTCATGGTTCTCTCTCAAAGCCTCCTGGCACTAGCGCTTGCCCTGTTCTTACACACCTGTGTTGTGGAGAACAGTTCTTCCTCTCCTATGTTCTGAGGGCTCTCTAGAACTTTCCCTGTAGGCAGAGGAAAGAGATTGATAATGACAGACTAATCGTCATGACCTTTATAGCCAATCCAAAGTTCTCTTGGCTGAAGGAGGGGTTTTTCACTTCAGGGGCACTCTAGCCTGGCACTTGCCATGACAGTGTCCCCAGGTACAGACAGGAAAGGTGACATCACCTGCATTTACATGATGTCTCTCTGTGTGGCTTGGGCCACTAGGTGGCTTACCAAGAAACAGGGACAGCAGAGATGCATGTTCTGGGGGTGCTTTACAAAGGGAAATCTGAGATTGTTCCTACTGAAGCTTCTTCTCCTTTCAGCTTCCACCCAGGCCACCTGTCCCCAAGGGACTTGGAGTGGAGACTTGAGCCCCCGCCTGTCAAAGGTGCAGGCTTCACAGACACAGCTGGATCCAAGCACCCTGGTGCCAAGTTGTCCACAAGGTGAGCTAGATCAAGGTTTCCACTCTGGGAGTGGCTCAGCCAGGCGGGGCCTTTCCTCCACCACCTGCAGCTTTAGAGTCAATGCTTATTCTGGTAACCAATGTTTCTTCCAAGCTAGGGAAGGAAAGGGGATAGGAAGATCTAGCCCAGGTGTTGGTGTTCATGGTGCTATGGGTGGAGGAGAGAATGGAGCCTCTCTGTGCTCCCTCAGGGTCAAGTTAAATGCACAGTACTCCAACCCAGTAAGGTGAGCAGGAGCCTGGGGCTTAGGAAAAAATCTGCTCTCGGGTCCCGGGTTTGCCTCCTTCTGGTTGTTCACGCTGGCCCAGGATTTTGTCTTTTTGCTATGCAAATCTGTTTTCTCATCTGAGCTACCTAAAATATATCTACTGGTAATCATCGCTGAGAGTATTAATTATCATAATTTCCAAAGGGCCTGATTGAATAACAAGTACTCAACAGACCTATAAATACGTGTTATTTAATCTATTTGTCTTTCTGCCAAGTTTACATTTAGAAAGTAACTTCACAGACTCTGTCTTCTCTGAGGTAGAGCAGTTGTGAAGCTCTCTGTTCCCTAGAGTCCCCTCTTCCTTCCTTTCTCACATATACTCCTCTGTCAGTTTTCTTCCTCTCCTTCCCCATCCCCCATGAAGCCAATTCTCCACTGTCAGGCACTTTCAGTGACAACCTATGAGGCACATTCAGGAACAGTGTAAATCCTGGACTAACATGTCAGTGTCATGACACGTCCAGCTCCTCTTTCTCCTTGTTCTGCTCTTTTTGAACACAAAGGGCAATTTTCACTTATAAAGTGTTCACATCTGTCTCTTATGAAAATCCATTTAGTTGGTCATCTCCACTCATGTCCTCGGCCATGTCCTCAGTTTCCTTCTCACAGGGATCCACTTCTGCTCAGATTTCCTTAGTGTCCTGTATCCTGTTCATTCTTACTCTTTGTCCCAGTCTATTTCTCATCCTAAGGCCCTCGGCTGAGGAATATGGGGACCCCTGTCCTCAGGAGGAGGAAGGGTCACATGAGATAATGAGCACCGCTTGGGTCTGTAGAGAGGACACCCAGACGGCACTCAGTGGGTGTCAGGGATGTGCAGTCCCTTACCTGTGCTGTGTAACTAATTTAAACTGATTTCTTCCCACCACATTCTCCTTTGTTTCACTATGGATACTTACACCCCCAGCCAAGACACAACCCACTGGCTCAGACGCATGCTCTCTTGCCCACTTTCCCTGGAGTCCAAAGCCAGAACCAGGATCCCAGTAAGAGCAAAGAGTGAATGCCTTGTGCCTCATTCACGGTTTCCTTGGTCATTTCTCCCTGCTGTCTAACAGCTCATTTGTTTCTCTGCACACCTCTTCTTTCTCATTCTTCTCATGTTTCTATTATTTTTTAATTTCAGTGAAAAGAATATTAATTATACTGTTACATTAAATATCTCCCAAATCTCTATATATTATTTTTCATTAATTTAATGTCTACAGATATATGCATTTACACCTTTTGCTATGTATATTATGTATATTTGGTGTGTATGCTACATAGTGTGTATATATATGTGCAATAGATTATATAATGATGCATGTTTCGTAAATTCTCCAGGTTTCATCTTTCCTTGTTCTTTTCTCATCAGCTGCTGTAACCTCTGCCTGTCTCACCTCTGTGTCCCATGGGCTGCCACCCTGCCAGGCCCTTCCACCCCCCCTTCCTGTTTGGACTCAGCTCTGATTTAACTTTCACTCTTATAATCTCTTCCCTCCCCAAAGCACAGCCTACATACAGTGTGATTCCCTTGCTTTGGCCATATCTACCCTGAAGCTACTTCTGTTTCTTAATCTTTAGTTTCTTGAATATTTTCGTAAATCAAGAGTGCCCTTGCCTCCTGGCACACTTGTCATTACTGAGTAATGTAAGAAAAATCAACCAAAAAATATATTAAAGTTACTCTGTTGGCTTCCTTTCCCCCTTTGGACTTTCCTGTCGAAGGCCCCATTCGTGATTTGATGTCCTTTGGGTGGAAGAGAAAGTCACAGTAAGATCATAAATGCCACTGGATGCCATTGGCTGTTGTTTTATTTTCAGAGCTGGTTTTAGCCCCCTCCATTGCGATGAAGAACCCTCTGCAGATGGAAGATGATCCACTCGAAGGCTCATCAAACACCCAATGGCATCAAGTGCCTGGCAACATTGATGCCTCCAGTGTCCCAAAACCCAAGAACATCAAAAGAAAATTCCCTTTCAGCAAATGGATCCATTGGCCTTCACGCTCCGGGTGCAGAGGTAATCACTTCTATGGCTCTGAGCTGCACTCACTTCTTATTTCTCTCTGTGTATGGTGACAGCTCATTCTCCCACTGCTTTTTTTCTTCCATTTGTTCTCCCCAGGGGCTGCTGTAACCTCTGTCTGGTCTAACCCCAGTGTCCCATGGGCTTCCATCCTGCCAGGCTCTTTCTGTCCTCATCTCCTCATTGCTCTCTGAACCCTGCTCTATTCCTTCTTCTGCTGTCTTGAGGGTCCCTCTGGTGGCCACAGAAGAGCCAGGCCACCTTGTCCTCATCCAAGTACACAGTTAAGCTGTGGAACACAAGGTTCTTTGCTGGGAATTGCACACTCTCTTCAGAAATTATCTTTCCTCCCTGTATCCCCAACTTTATTGTTTCTTTCTGCAGGGAGCATGGCTTTAATACATCATTTACACATAGGTTTTTTCCCTTGAGTTGGCTTTGGAGGAACCTAGCTAAGTCCACCCTTACTCGTCTCTTGTTCCTCTGAATGAGAAGTGTTAAAGCTGAGCACAGAGAGCTTCACTTAGAAAACAAAACTTAAATCTTGGTCACAAGTGGGAATTCCCTACCAGACTAGAGCCAGGTTTACCTTCAGCCCCAGATGTGCAGCCTTGTGACAATGTAGATGGAATTGCCAGGGACTCAGTATTCTCACCTCAAGGACTCATTTGTGCTGACATTAACTGAATGACATTTATGACATTCAAAATACATGCAGAGGACAGGACTTCAAATCTGCATACATCATGAGATATATCAGTCTAACCTCTCTCCATTTTATTCTCATTTCCATTTCTACATGTTGTAAAGGGTCTAAAATGCAACTCAGATGAATCTTGAGGCCAGGGTAGATGAGAGAGAACTTTCTCGGTTCGCTTTGAGGAAAGTGGCTCCAGGACCTTCATTACTGAGTAATGTCATAACTTTTTGTTGATAACAAGAAAGAAAATATTAATGTCACTCTGTTGGCTTTTCCTCCCCCTTTGGACTTTCTTGTCCAAGGCCACATTCCTGATTTCATGTCTTTTGGGTGGTTTTAGCCCCATCCGTTGGGATGAAGAATGCTCCACAGCTGGAAGATGATGCACTCGAAGGCTCAGCAGACACCACCCAAGGGCGTCAAGTCACTGGCAACATTCATGCGTCCAGTGTTTCAAAACCAAAGAACATTAAAAGAATACTCCCATTCACGCTGGGTGCGGTGGCTCACACCAGTAAGCCCAGCACTTTGGGAGGCCGAGGTGGGAAGATCACGAGGTCAAGGGACCAAGACCATCCTGGCCAACATGGTAAAACCCTGTCTCTACTAGAAAAAGCAAAAATTATCCCAGCGTTGTGGCGCTCGTCTGTAGTCCCAGCTAGCTGGGATGCTGAGACAGAAGAATCACTTAGAACACAGAAGGCAGAGGTTGCAGTGAGCCAAGATCATGCCACTGTCCTCCAGCCTGCGCGACAGAGTGAGACTCCGACTCAAGAAAAAAAGATAAAAAGAAAACTCACGTTCAGCAACTGGATCTGTTGGCCTTCATGCTCAGGGTGCAGAGGTAATCACATCTATGGCTTTTAGCTGCACTCACTTCTTCTTTCTCTCTATGGTGACAGCCCATTCTCCCACTGCTTTTTCTCTTCCATTTGTTCTCCCCAGCAGCTGCTGTAACCTCTGTCTGGTGTCCAGTGTCCCATGGGCTCCCATTCTGCCAGGCCCTTTCTGTCCCCATCTCCTCATTGCTCTTTGAACTCTGCTCTATTCCTTCTTATGCTGTCTTGATGGTCCCTCTCATGACCACGGGAATGCCGGGCCTACTTGTCCGCATTAAAGTACACAGTTTAAGCTGCAGAACACAGGGTTTCTTGCCTGGAATTGCACACTCTCTTCAGAAATTTACCTTTCCTTCCTGTATCCCCAACTCCATTGTTGCTTTCTGCAGGGAGCATGGCTTTAATACATCATTTACACATAGGTTTTCCTCTTGAGTTGGCTTTGGAGGAACCCAGCTAAGTCCACCCTTACTCGTCTCTTGTTCCTCTGAATGAGAAGTGTTAAAGCTGAGCACAGAGAGCCCCACTTAGAAAACTAAACTTGAATCTGGGTCACAAGTGGGAGTTCCCTACCGGACTGGAGCCAGGTTTGCCTTCAGCCCCAGATGTGCAGACTTGTGACAATGTAGATGGAATTGCCAGGGACTCAGTATTCTCACCACATGGACTCATTTGTGCTGACATTAACTGAATGACATTTATGACATTCAAAAGTACATGCAGAGGACAGGACTTCAAATCTGCATACATCATGAGAGATATCATTCTAACCTCTCTCCATTTTATTCTCATTTCCATTTCTACATGTCCGGTTAAAATCTAAAATGCAACTCAGATGAATCTTGAGGCCAGGGTATATGAGAGAGTGTTTTCTGAATTAACTCTGAGAAATTGATTCCAAAACCTGCCTTTATGCATACACGAGATGACAGGCAAGCATCTGTCTATAGGACAGTCTTTGCTTTGGTTCAGCCCAATTGATAAGAGAGATTTCACTGAAGTTGTCAGAGAGAAGACTGAAATCCATGGAACCACAGGGAGCAAAGCCAATCATGAGATAAATGGGGAAAGAAAAGAAAATGATGAGAAATTGGGTTGTTCCATTTTATATCTCTAAATCTAGCTGCCATGTAGTAAACATTTAATGAGATTTCAGTTAAGATGCATGCCTTGAACTCAAACCTTGAGATTCTCACTGACATGATCTGGGGTGTGGTTTGGGTGTCTATAGTTTTAAAATGCTCCCACATGATTCTGATATGTGCCTGAAGATGAGGAAGACAAATGGTCTTCGATGACCTCAGGTTGCCAACATGGAAGTGTTCCATATGTGTGGCTACTCCACAGAAAAGGCTGAGCATCCATCAGCATTTGATGGGATCTGTATTCCCCTCTCAATAGTACTATTTATATATAACAGAAAAAAAATCAGACAGGAAACCAACAAAATTAAGAGATTAGACCTTTAGCCTCTGCTTGAAGTATACTTGCTCAATTTTCAATACAAGACAAAGTGAGGAACAGTCATTACTTTGACGCCTAATGTAGGGAAATAATACCTCCCGTATTACATGTAGTGGAATTTAGTATTTTCTTTGGCAGTTTACAGTAAATCTTACAGGTGACGTTTAACCACACAGATTTTGTAGCCCACTGATTGGCTCAGCACTGCAGTGTGAACATTTTACTCTCAGTCTATTGTTTTTCTTTCTCAAAGCCCCCAAAGAGAACTTATTAGTCTCACGCTTCTGAAGAGAACAAATAACACATCAAGACTAAAATTCTGCAAGAGATTGCCTGTGAATGCTTCCTTATGCCCCTCTTAAAGCTGACGTTAAATATTAAAAAGGAACCTGTCAGCCTGGTGCAGTGGCTCACAGCTGTAATCCCAGCACTTTGGGAGGCTGAGGTGGGCGGATCATGAGGTCAAGAGATCGAGATCATCCTGGCAAACAAGGTGAAACCCCTTCCCTACTAAAAATACAATAATTAGCTGGGCCTGGTGGCACACACCTCTGGCCCCAGCTACTTGGGAGGCTGAGGTGGAAGAATTGCTGTAATCCAGGAGGTGGAGGTTGCAGTGAGCCAAGATTGTGCCACTGCACTCCAGCCCGGTGATAGAGCAAGAGTTTGTCTAAAAAAAAAAAAAAAAAAAAAAAAAACAGAAAGAAAGAAACCTTTCCCAAAATGTACTTGGGGAAAAGAGAAAGTGGGAGGAGAGAATGTAGTAAAACAAAAACTATTCCGTTTCACCTCGTACTTCAGAGTTTTGTTCATCTAGATAGTGAAAATATTCCTAGAAATGCCTTAACGTGTAACCAGGTATGGAATCAACTTCTGGGCATTAGGGAAAATAAGTAAGTCCATAGTTACACTCCCCACTTTCTGCTAATTTCATTTCGAGTGTATTTTTTCTTTCAAATTTTCTTTCTTTCCTGGTCCCCTTTGAAAGAATACTTATAGTTATGTTTGCTTTTTCTTCTTTTTATTTTTTTAACCAACCAAATAAACACCACAGACATCATAGTTCTTTGTAAAATCATATTCCTGTCCTAGCTAGGGTAACCCAACAGCTCATGACTGCCAAGACCTCCAGATTGGACCCTTTCCTCTCACTTCCTCCAATCTCTATTGAAAGGGCCTTAGTGCCTGGTTCTAGTTCCGGGTTGTCAATAGCAAGTCCTGTGGCCTTAGTTCAATCTTAGCCCTGTGGCATCACTACTATTCTGTTTTAAAAGGTGGAAGAGGACGTGGATGTCATCTGAGGTTCCCGCTGCTTTTTATATCCAGAGTGTTGCCCATGGCCCTTCTAATCCTCCCCAGAAGACTGGGACATGGAGTTGTAAGGGGGTGGGTTTCTCTGCTGAGGGTCCTCCTTCTGCAGTCCTCTGTGTCTGAGCATGCATGACTGATGCTGAGCACATCCTCACTGGGAGGAAAAGCCATCACTCTGCTCCAGACAGAGGGGATCAGGAGGAAATGGGCTGATGTTCCTGGCTGCTTGTTGGGCATAGCTGGGGTCCCTATATCCTGCACCCCAGGCTGACAGAAAGTTCATGGGAATTCAGGGGTGTTTTCTTCTCACTTATGGATGGTGCTTCCCCCTTCACAGTCCAATGCTCACCCTCAGCTCAAGCTGCCAGCAGGAGGTCTGTCTGCTGCTGGGATATGATCACTTAGCAGTCCCTCCAGACTCAGCCTTCAGGAGGACCTGACAAAAATGCTCATTTGATTATTTTTTCTCTCTCCCCTACAGGCACCCAATAGTGTCAGAAAGGATGTCAGAAAAAAAAGGGGGTCTCAAGCTTTTCCACTTGATGAAAAAACACTAAAATGGCAAAGCAAGTACAAGTCCAAACACAAGTCACTGCAGAAATCCTTCACTGAGGATTCAGTTTTAGACCACAGTGCCTGTTAAGGAAGATGGCGCTGTTAGGACCAACTCAGGATTACAGCTCCCAGTCAATCTGCAGAGGGTGAGTGGACACGGCATTTCCATATGGATCTTTATTGTCCACAGACTAAAAGATTTCCAGGTGTAAGAGCCCCACGAGCCATGTGGTAGTTTGGGCCGGCGCGGCTGTTTGAGCCGAGGCTGCAGCACAGCAACACTCCGTACAAAATATGCCCATGTGGTTGCCCTGCTAAACTGGCAATTGGAGATTTTGGAAAGCTGATTAGCACATTCATCTGATTAAATGAGACTTAAACAGAAAGCCAGCCCAGGAGATTCCCAGGCAGCAATGTAATTTGAGTAGGCGCAGTGGGTCGCTGCATGGGATATCACACGGACCCCGGCGTTCTTGCAGCAGGTGACTGGAACACGTGGGAGAGAGTCAACCGCTGAACTTAACAAAAAAAAAAGGGTTCTGAGGCAGGGAGCCAGGTGATCAGGCTCGGTGGGTCCCACCCCCACAAAAACAAACAAAACAGCAATTGGAAACTCTCCGGGTTGAGAGTTTCATGACAAGCACAGCAGAACCCAGGATGGTGCAGCTTGGAGCAGGAAGGGCATCTGTTATTACTGAGGCACTCAACCCCTACAGAGCTACACTGCCATTGCTGATGCAGCCTCCCATTGCTGAGGCAACCCACAATGGAAGAGAGAGTCCGCCATTACAGAGGCAAGCATATCCATATAAACAGGACTATAGGAAAGTACACACAGCAGCAGGGCGGAGCCCACAGCAACAGGGAAGAGCCCATGACAACAGGGCAAAGCCCACAGCAGCAGGGCAAAGCCCATGGTAACAAGGTGGAGCCCATGGCAACAGGGCAGAGCCCACGGCAGTTCAGCATAGCCACTGCAGGCAAGCAGTGATTAGACTGCCCCCTTGCTGGGGAGGACAGTGCAACAGATATTCATAAACGGATCCCTAACTCCCTGGGACAGAGTACCTGAGGAAAAAAAAAGGGGGCTTTATGAGTTCTGCTGCAGCAGACTTAAATGTTCCTGCCTAGCAGCCCTGAATAAACAACAAAGCTCACAGCTCAGCACTTGAGCTCCTATAAAGTACAGACAGTCTCCTCAAGCAGCTCCCTGACCCCCGTATATCCAAAGAGTCACCTCACAAAGGACTGATTGGACTGACATTTGGCGGGCATCATTCAGGGACAAAGATAGCAGAAGAAGAATCTGGAAGCAACCCTCACGGTTCTGCAGCTGCTACAGGAGTTCCCCAGGCAAGCAGGGCCTGGAGTGGACCTCAGCAGTCCTACAGCAGTGGGGCCAGACTGTTAGAAGATAAACTATGAAACAGAAATAGTTCATCATCAACAATCTGGATGTTCACTCAGAGACCCAATCAGAAAATCAGCAATCACTCAGACGACAGGTGGATAAATCCACAAACATGGGAAGAAATTAGTGCAAAAAAAAGGAAAACACCCAAAACCAGAACACCTCACCTCCTACAAAGGACCAAAACTCCTCACCAGCAAGGGAACAAAACTGGATGGAGAATGAATGTGATGAAATGACAGAATCAAACTTCAGAAGGTGGGTAATCAGAAACTTCCGTGAGCTAAAAGAACATGTTCTAAATCAATGCAAAGAAACTAAGAACCTTGAAAAAACATTTGAAAAAATATTTGAGGAAATGATAAGAATGGACAACATAGAGAGGAATACGAATGAATTGAAGGAGCTGAAAAACACAACATGAGAACTTCGTGAAGCATGCGCAAGTTTCAATAGCCGAATTGACCAAGCAGAAGAAAGGATATCAGAAGTCGAAGATCAATGCAATGAAATAAAATGAGAAGGCAAGATTAGAGAAAAAAAGCACAAAAAGGAAGGAACAAAGTCTCCAAGAAATGTGGGACTATGTGAAGAGACCTAATCTACGTTTGATAGGTGTACCTGAATGTGATGAAGAGAATGAATCCAAGCTGAAAAATACTCTTCAGGATATTATCCAGGAAAATTTCCCCAACCTAGCAAGGCAGGCCAGTATTCAAGTCCAGGAAATACAGAGAACACCACAAAGATATTCCGCAAGAAGAGCAACCCCAAGGCACACAATTATCAGATTTACCAGGGTTAAAGTGAAGGAGAAAGTGCTAAGGGCATCCAGAGAGAAAGGTCGGGTCACCCACAAAGGGAAGCCCATCAGACTCACAGCAGATCTCTCAGCAGAAACCCTACAAGCCAAAAGAGAGTGGAGGCCAATATTCAACATCGTTAAAGAAAAGAACTTTCAACCCAGAATTTCATATCCAGCCAAACTGAGCTTCATAAGTGAAGGAAAAATAAAATCCTTTGCAAACAAGCAAGTACTCAGAGATTTTGTCACCACCAGGCCTGCTTTACAAGAGCTCCTGAAAGAGGCACTAAACATAGAAAGGAACAACCAGTACCAGCCATTCCAAAAACATACCAAATGCTAAAGAGCATCAACAAAATGAAGAATCTGCATCAACTAACGGGGCAAAACAGCCAGCTAGCATCAAAATGGCAGTATCAAATTCACACATAACAATATTAATCTTAAATGTAAATGGGCTAAACACACCAATCGAAAGACACAGACTGGCAAATTGAATATAAAGCCTAAACCCATCAGTGTGCTGTGTCCAGGAAACCCATCTCACAGGCAAGGATACACAAAGGCTCAAAATAAAAAGATGAAGGAAGATTTACCAAGCAAATGGAGAGAAAAAAAAAAAAAAAAA